CTGAACAATGACCTGAGGGCTCTGGAGCTTCATGGTCCTCCAGTGAGGTGAACAACAAACGCAGTGTACTGACCAACTGTGTGCTTCATGCACGACCCTGAGAACTTCCTCGCCTGGCTCAAAAAAAGCACCTCCCACCACCACTGCTTTTTCTGCATCACTATAGCATCACAGTTCGTATGAGTCACCCATCGTGACGGTTTTATCAGCGGGGGGCCTGGAGTGAGACCACTCTAATAATCTCACTAAATACCAAAGCCTTAATGAGCCTGATTCATCAGATCCGGATGGCAGAAAAGGGTAGAGACTCCGATTTCTGCGCCGACTGGAACATTCTGAACTGTGCGAAAGGTGGAAAAAACCTAAAAGAACAGCCACGCACAAACGAAATCGATCTGCATAATCCAGCCCTGCAAACTTTTCAAGAAATGCTGATTTGTAAAGTTTAATGTCTGTGGCAATTTTGTGCATATTTCCAATACTGTACACTCGGGTCTCCAATCTGTGTTTAAATCCTCAAGTAACCTTTCGGGACCTTTTAAATCTGAAATGTCGTTTACAGCAAAATGGACTATGCTCTTGTTAAGCAAAAAAAAAACTTTGGGGTTGACAGGGTCCTACAGCAAATGTCTGGTTTCATTTTCCCAGAAGGCACAGCTTAACCCACGCCAAGAATAACAGCCTTCTATCAAGATTCACCAAGTGCGGTCTACAAGAATTTAACTGCAGCAACCAAGAAAAAGAGGTGAAACACAAATATGGGCACCGTGAATGAAAAAACAACTTCCCTGGGAAGCCTCATTAAATATCGATGGCCTGTTATGAAGGTCAAATGCAATCAAATTAACCACAACCATGTTAACTGCAACTACAACACATTAAGACTAACTGCGGCTACAACAGTGCAGTCGAACAGACTAAATTCATAATTACACTCAAGATAAAAATATAGCCATTATGAACGCAAACTTTAGCCAGTGGTTTCATGGACCCTAGGTGTCAGTAAACAACCTAGCCTACTTAAAACCAATTTAGGCAAACAAGTCAAAGACTTGATCTGGTTCTGTGAAACTAGCCCTAAATATTTTCTCTATAAAAGAATCAAATTAGATGTCATTTCTTAAATGACAATAATGTATTTCTTTCATAGGTGTGTTTACATTTTAGGGGAAAAGGTATTAAATTCTCAGAAAAAAACACCTCAGTATTTTGAAGTTGCACATTTCTTGCTAAAAACTGCAAAATGGTCAATATACAATAAAGATACAGGCTCGATTCATGGCAGGTACCTTTACCATTATGTAACTCAAGCACTGCAGTACAGCAGAATAAGCTAATAGAAATATAATTGCACAACTTCACATATCTAAACTAATCCTCCTGTTTGTTACCGAATGTACAGAGGTTCAATACAACTTTAAATTCTGTCTCAGTACTAATATATATATAAAAAACCTCTAAAACATGAGTGCATAGCTCAGAAAGGTTTCTGACTTTCTTTCAACCTGATCCCTTAATTACCTCATGATGTGATTAACTGGACAAGCTGAAGCCCTGCCTTGATTTTGGGAAGCTGGAGACTGAGAGACTGATAGAACCCACTAGTGTGGCCTTTGAGGACTAGAGTTGGGCTCTCCTGGATTAAGCAAACAGCAACAAGAAATTACACCCACACAAAGATGGCATCACCATAGCACACAATAGCTGGGCCTCCTCTCATCTGTAAGATGAAACGATGAAAAGAAAAGTGACGTCGTTTGTGATACTGTGAATGCTGAATTATGTCATCGTGAGGATGTTAAAGGCATTCTGTTAAACACCCAACATGAGATCACAAGTGCAATGCAAATGGATGATCCAGACTTCAGGCTAATAATTGTAAACAATTTCATAAAATACAGCAGCTACAAAGGAAGTTCATCAAATTACAGTACCTGCTCCTGGATTTGAAAATATATTTATTTCATTTCTACACTTTAGCTTTTGTCATAACACAAATGCATCACTCCATTTCTTTAGTAATTCAATTTCTGCTGTTTTTATTATCCTTAAAAAAACAATAGAACTTACTGAGACCATTTTAGAACTGATATTTCTTCACCGCTATAAATGTTAAAAAAATACATTATTAATTCTTAGAAAATCCTTGTTGTTGCACAACAGTTTCTAACAGATACTAAATCTGAGACATAACAGCAAAAAACAAAGTGCTTAATGAATTCAAGATCATGAGAAAAACACCATCCAGAAAATATGCTGATTTTGTTTGAAAAACACTTCTTGTGGTATATTGAGGAAAAAGTCAACACAGACCAAAATAGGTCAAATTCATTCACAGTATATACCATGGGTATGAAGCACTAATAAATGATGGTGTAAACTGTAAAAAGAGCACGACAATTCACCAAATTACATTTCTGAAAACTAAAATAAACACTTCACCCCAACTAAAAATCATTACAGTGCATCGCATCTGATGGTGCTGACACGAACAGAATCCTAGAAGTTGTCTTTCAGTTGCCACACACAACTTGGACACCCGTGGCAACAAAACCAGACAAACAACAACTCGGCCTTTCAGAGATACAGCGACCCCGGCCTGCTTCATGTCTTCAGTCTTTTAACCATTTCCGAGAAAGAGACACAGTACTTGAGTGACTCGCCCACAGCTGTCAGCTGAAGGGCTGCCTTCAATGCCAAACAAACCGACAGACTGAGAAACAGAAGTGAGAAGCGACTAACACAGTGACAACAGCAGCACAGCTTTCCTGTGCTTAGCACTGCGGCCACACAGCCCCAGGGTCCTGGGTGCGACTCCTCCCTTCGGTCACTGTTTGTGTGGAGTTTATGTGTTCGTCCTCCGAGTTTGTGTGGGTTGCTGGCCTTTTTACCCCACAACTCCTGAACGCATGATGATTACATTGCTTGGCTCGTCTAAATTCAATGGGGAAGTATAATGGACTCTCCACCTCATCGCCCACTTATGAAGTAGGTTAGGTTTTGGGGCTTCTCTCTCCTGTGCCTTGTTTCAAGGTCATGGGACTATAAGGACAGTATATATTATATAAAGAAGATATTGCACATTGCCAAAGCCTGCACTTTGATGTTTCCGACATCTCCCTTGTAGGATGGCATACCGTGTCACATGATATAGTTTATTTTAACGTCATAAAAATCTGATCTGCAGATTTCCATCAAGAGCAGGCAACTCAGGTGACACTACACCGCTTTGCTAACTGCAATAAAAACACTGATGTTTAGACGATCATCAAAGCAAAAGTAAGAAGTTTTCCGTATGTTACTGGTGTAAATAATTTTTGCTATCTCTTTCCAACTGTTACTCCTAAGAGATCTTCGACGTGTGGGGCGCCATAATTAAAATATATAAATTAAAAACTTAATTGCTGGACCATTCGAAGCGACAAGATCACATCTTCTATACTACAGTGCCCAGTATTTTAGGAGCAAAAGCCAAGCGACAAAGAATGTATCACACACCCCGAGTATACTGGTAGACTGAAGGGGTGGTATAGTGGCTATTCATCGAACGTGAGGCTATTTTACCATCATGATCATGTATCGTTAATACGATACAACAATCTGTATATAGCGCCTTTCATGACGTATAATACACAGACGATTTACATTGCGAGACAAAAGCAAAAACACACGGGTGCTCAATTTACTTCACTGAACCTTACTGAGAGCAGAAAACCATGCCGAGACGAGTGTTTCAACAGCCTGTGCGAGAATGACATTTTTATTTCTTGTCAGGGCACCAAACTCCGGAAAGCAAGGTGAGCAGAAAATAACAGGCTGTCTCTTTAAACGACAAGCAGGGGCCGACTGGATTCCCACAAAAAAAAAGCCAAACAAAAAGCAATCAGGAAATAGTTGAGGGCAGCACCCCGCATGGCTTTGAAGTAAATCAATCAGGTGGAACTTTTTCAACAAATCGCAGCCCTGCTTCCTGAGGACAAGTTCAAATAACAAGAGACGGCAACATGAGAAATTTACAGCTGCGGTTTCTTACCGGTTTCAGATTCTCAGATTAAACAGCTACCATAAAGGCAACCTGGCCCTAATAATAAGAACTATTTTCCCACCAAGAGGAAAAAAAAAGCCAATTTTACCACAGAGTGGGGAAACAAAACTCCACCACACGCACCCTTGGACTCTTACAAGTGTACCGAAGCTCTAATGCAGTTTGGGGGGGCAGAGAAGGGCATTTGATATAAAAAATGTAACAGGGCGCATTAAAAAAAAAACATTTCAAAAAAGCTAATTTAGGATGCCTACAGGGGTGCAAACAAGTTGCACAGACACAGATGTCTCTCTCAGTGTACAAAATGTAAGTAAAGGACGTGCCATCTGGCTTTATTCCGTTTACAGTGGGTCTACAGTACACCAGCTATTTTTTTATTCTGATGGTAGCTGCATTGAAGACCTGATTCTCTGCTGCTAGTAATGGTCGCGGTAGGCGTCACCGTTGCCTACATCATACGCCACTAACCCGAAATCAAAATACAGTTAATGGATGCAATCTATGCACATATCGGCCAGAGCATACATGACATAACGGATAACCAGGGGGGTGCCTGCTAATAACAGTCCCCAAGGCAACACCCTAATAACTAGTGCTTTTAAAATAAAATATTCGCAACGACGTAACGCCATGTCGAAATCGGAAGCCATATTTTGCTGGTTATTTCGACATCGGGAAAAAAAAGTAGACATGTTTTTTTTTCCCCCCAGCCCAGACTCCCAGCAATATAGCAAAACTTCCTGATTGTGAGAGCAAATCATTGCATATTCCGCGGGCAAGCAATTCAGGTGACCACTGTGCACAGTGCGGGACCACCGAAGTTCAGGGGCTAAGTTATAATGATAATAACACCACAGTACACACAGCAGTGATGGAAGGGAGGCTTTTAACTTTGGGACTTGTTTAGTCAATATCCTTCACCGATCGTTAAATATTAAGTTTGAGAGATTCTTACCTGGCCCCTGCGTTTGTGGTACTGGGACGGTGAGACCACGGAGGGATCCAGAATACGGGTCCCCCTTTTTTTCGGCAGGATATCGAATATGAGGATTAATTCCAAAGATTCTACCGAATCCTAAAGACAACAGTAGAAAAAAATTCTCGATCACAGGAGGATCTACGCCAAAAACCACATGATCTCCTACGTCAGCACACATATTTGCATACGATACCAGAAGCTCTTCCATTCCGGGGATTTGATTATTTTGCTGCAAAGTTGATAAATGAAGTGGAAGGTGAAAGCACTGAAGCCCCTGCTTTGCAGCCACTGGCCTGCCCCCCCGTGAAATGGATAAATACTTGTTGTTTTTCGGCGACGTCCTGCGCCAGTAAACAACGCTAGGTAATTGAATATTAAGTACCACAGAGCTCCAGGCAGTTACATGAGCACCGTCGCTCAGTATGCGCTGTTGCTGGCTTCAGACAACTCAGGTGACTGTTTCATCTGCCCCCAGTCTGTGCACAGCCATTCATCCAGCGCAGTGACAGGTTGTGAAACCCGCCTGTTTTAGCGGCCTCCCGTCATCGCCGCTGGTTCCCATTACCATTACATTACATTCGTTGAAGAAAAGGGGCAGAAACTGTGAAACGGTACATACTACAAAGTAGGGGGATTGAGCCATTGCACGACAACTATACAATTATTAAAAACGTAGGATTTAATTATACAATTATAATAACTACTGGATGTGAACGCACTTGTCCTTAACTAATAATTGAACCCTCTTGAGAGTGTTTTACAGTCATGTGTCTTAAATGCTGATCGGTCCCGGACAAGCGACCTACAGAGCCAGAGTAGCACATTTAGAATATATTTCTCTCCGACCGTTTTGTTTTTAGCCTAAACAATGAGAAAGAACTGAGAGATCCACACTGGTCACTGGTCCAAATAAGAAAAACACTGGTGTCCTGCACCGTTTTCCTTTCTCGTCCGCCTTTCTGTTTGCCCCAGTGTATGTCTGTATTTTAAACGGATGAAACACTTCCCCGCTCTCGTTTACTTTCACACTCGAAAGTCAACATCGTTCCAGATTTAGGATATCACAAGCCACTTTTCCTGTCTGTTTCTATTTGTTCTGGTCCTGGTTACCACGCTTACCGTATCTAACAGCGACACCTATAGACATTTTGTATTACAACGAGAAAAGTTTTTTTTTACAGAATATTTTATGCTGTTAAAAAAATCATTTAGGGGTGTCGACAGGTTTTTTTTCGGCAACATACGGAGAAATCCCGAACGACGATGTCTTTTGTTTGAAATATGTTAACAGACCTCTATACGCGATTACACATTCTTCTATCAAGAGCTCCGAGATTCAAATTTCTTGTATAACAGGACAGGTTTTTTTTAGTTGTCTCATACTTCCTAAGCAATCCCTAAACGACTCTTAAATAAATGTTTTAAGACTACTGTCGTATGGTGTTTTCGAAATAATACCTGTGTTCTCAAAACTTTTCAATTGCGTTTCATGCTTTTGGGCCACCAGTGAGTATCATTATCACCATTTCCATTTAAAATATTAAAAATGCATTTTTTTAAATCAAACAATAAGTATCGTCCTTGTTTTGGAAGCAAATAAAAGCAATAGTTATCAGAAAATGCTACCAAGTTAATTTAAAGTTTTTTTTCCTCCACATTTCACAGACCTTAATTCCTGTACAAGTACAAGTGCACAAGTAGCGAAAATTATATTTAGGTTTGTTTAATGAAATTGTCTTTGCGGAACCTGTGCTTCTGATAAAATTCCACTTTAATTACAGCGATAGAAAAGATTAGAATTTGGAAATTGCCCGCAACGACCTTACTTCCCTCGAAGCCAACTAAAAAGATCTCTCCATGCATCATTCATGAGAATGGAGTGGACTGTTACGGTCCGTGGACATATTTACATACAAATGAGGCGCTAATAAATTATTAACAATTTCCAGTATAAATTTATCATGCAGGCCGTTCGTAGCGCATTAAAATCAGTTAATACTAGATATTTAACGTGGTTTTTTTCATGCTTCTAAGCGACATTTGTTACCTACAGCCAGTATGCTTTTGAAAGTGGTCTTAAGAAGGATAGCGCCAACGTTACCACCTTGTAGTCTGATATCGTTATATCATTTAACTTAAGAAGATAGTTGGATAGAGGACCTGGTTGCTACTGAAAGTGATGTCGGCGGATGAGTAGGTGGCGCTCTTACCTCTGGCCGGCAAACGTCAAACCAGAGCCCCGGTACAATGGCTGGGGGTTTTGTACTGCTCTTTTGATGAGATGTTAAATCATAGAAGTATAGAAACTTGATCTTGGTCTCTACGAAAGAGTAGAGACCTTTACCTTTTTGAATAAACTAGCGCCGGTGAAGTGCCGGAATAGTTGGAAAAAAAAAAGTCCAAGCGCCCATTTGTTCATCCACTTTGTGCTTTAGTACACTGCTCTTTGGATATCCAGGATGTTATCAACAAAAACTGTGAATGGACTTCAGTAAATTGATTAAATTATTCTTAAGAATTATACCGCACACATAGAAAGCAGAACAAGGAGAGTGTGGCTTAGAGCAGCCATATCACCCTGCAACTCACAACTGGCAACCCACTGAAGCTAAGCAGGTGTGAGCCTGGTCAGTACCTGGATGGGAGACCTCCTGGGGA